ATTATTAATTTACTCTTACTGGTCTTTTATAAAATAGCAGACCTGAGGGGAGGTCTGCTATTACAATAATAGACCTCAGGAGAGGGCTGCTATTAGTGGTTGTGAGGGCGGGTCTGCTATCACAAGTAGCAGACCTCGCGGCTCCTTTGATCTACGACACTAGTATACTTTATGTAAAGATATTTACTCATTGATATTGATCTATTAGTATACTCCCACTACTGACTATACATACTGTCAATGAATCAATTACTAACAATTCCCTTGTTGAGTTGAGGATAGATATATCACATACACAATACAACTGTACATCACATAATGATTATGTATCTGTACATACAATAAATGAGATACATTATTCATTGACTAATACACAGGACTATAACAATCAATCAATATCACCTACTGATAATAGTAATAATGATATACACATACACTGTACACTATACAATCAGTATATAAAGTACTAACAGCAACATATTATTATACAAAAACAAAACAACAGGAATGTAAACAATGAAACCACAACAGAACAGAAGATATAACAACATGTACATGTATATGATAACATAGAGACAGTAATAATAACAATAACAATATGCTAACAACCAAACACACACACACACTTATAGGATAATTAGCTAGTAAGGTGTCTGATCAAAACAACTAGGAAATAATTCTATATGCATGGACATGTAAGCTAGCTACATCAATACTTCTTTAAAAATTAGAATCAGTACAATTCCAGTTAATTTTTTTGTAGGAAACAGTATTTTGCAAATCATTCCTTTTTGCTAGCCCATTGCATAAAAGTCACCACAAAATTCTGCATCTCCATCACTACAAGGTGCAGTCTGCAAGCTATATTTGCAAAAGTAAATTGCACAAAATTTTAGAAATACAAATGTTTCACTGCAAAAAACTAGTTTCAAGAGGTACTCTATACTAGTTCAACTGGTTGGACTCAAAAGTTGCAAAAATGGCAAATGTTGATAGTTATAGAGGATGGTCTTGTATACAGTATAATATTAGTGGAGCGAGAGTGGGCTCCTTTCACTGTCCCTCTCTCACAGGCACATCTCCTCTCATTCACAGGCCACACTAACACACACTATCACAATACAGTCTATTCACTGATAACTGATACCAAACATATAGATCAATACTCCCTCAAATAGGACCCATAGCTCATAGTACCCACTGGACAACTGAGTACTGGACCAACTGATCAACCAGACCCAGGGGGAATTTACCGGAACCAGCAATATCAGGCCTGGCCACAAAAAGGAGAAGGAGACCTCGCAAGTTTCAATTGATCTCAGAGCTTTTCTGAGCTTTTTCATTATTGATTATACCAAGAGTATATACTCTTGATTATACCCATGCATGTGCATTCCAAATTATCAGTTATAATGTGCAATAATAATGGAGATCTAGCTATTGTCACATTACACACTCTTTCCTCCTTCCACTGCTACTCTCAGTCTCTCTCAGTGGATCCATCCTCAACCAAAGGATCTCTTCCCTAAATAACTTACAAAGTCATCTTGATCATAATAAGCAGCCATTCCTTCCAAAAATATAGATCCAGATGCTTCAGTAAATCGTTCCTAATACTAGCTAATGATCCCTTCCACTTGATGTGACTTGTTGTTTCTACTTGTTCCCTGGCATTATATATAAATAATAGAAATTAATTGGTGGGAGTGGTTTTAGTCGCAGTAATAAATTATATTGCATGAGTGACTTAAATCAAGAGTAGATCTACTCTTGCTTAAATCCCACCAATAAAATGATACATACTAATACCTGTACAATGTATTATAGTGCTAATGTTTTAATATCAGGATATGCTTATACTGATATACATGATATGGTCCTTTAATCTTTATGTAATGTAGAGTGGTTGGGTTTAAAAATATGACCAGAGACCATGGACCAGTACAATGTTGGGAATGATCATGGACCATGCATGGTTTACTTTTAAGAACGTTAGTAAAAATTAAGTTATGGACACACAGCAAATAGTGAGTTGTTTTGTAAAATGTCAGCTCAGCCAAAGTGGCTCAGTTTAGCACTGAAGGCTTTGGAATGAGAAATGTACAAATTTGTTAGTTTAGGATTTGTACCATTATTTTTGTGATATTGTTCCAGTATCAGTATTCATGGTCTTATAAACCTTGAGACTGAGACCTGTCAGTCTAATAAGTGATATAGATACCTCCACCTAACATTGTATAACCTATACTTATGAGCATTGGATGATAATTAGCTATAGGACACTGTTCTATTGGTGTATTGTACATGTATTATTAGTACATTCAATGATAAGACACACTCACTGTATCTATCAGTGTATTTAGTAATACAACTAAGGCTGCGTTTACATTGCAGCGAAACCAATGCAATCAGTACAGTTTTGTGCCTGTTTTATGCTTCTGTTTACACAGAAAGAAATGAAAATGTGATAGAATCTTGATAGGACTCTATGGAAACAAAAACGGTGTTAAAAATGATATGTTTTGCATTGCTGTGTAAATGCAGCCTAAATGTGTTTTGCATTGCT